CTTGCTCTTCTTGGAGCACGGGCTCCACCTCTAACTCCCCTCACCATTGACGAATTTCGAAGGAAAAAGTCGAAAAAGGGGAAAGAGTGCAAAGTCGAAGAAAGATGAAATAAAATCAAAGGAATTTACCTTGATCTGAAGCAAAAGCCGCCGATTTACGAATTGGTAGTGACAAGTCTCAGCTTCTAAGCTTAATGCTCGGGGAATTTGCGAAGTTTTGATGCGGGCTCTTGAGCGTTCTTGAGAATTCTGGGTTTGTGTTGATGAATGAGTGGGGAGAGAAGACGCGCCTCTATTTATATCTCCAGAAATGGGAATTCAAGGAGTCTGCGTTTCAATTTCTCTCAAGCACCCCACTAAGTAACCGTTAAACACACGACCTTGCAGTTAAATCGCCCACTACCCGTCCAACTTCCGCAATTATCCACATTAACTGTTGTTATCTCATTAATCATGGGTTAATTATGGTTTAAATTCACATTTTTGGATTAACAAATCATTCACTTCCCTCCTTTTCTGATTAAATCAAACCCGACCCGTCATCCTTCCAAATCGGGTCTGGGGGGCAAGTTGTTTGGGTCCAATTTAGTCCAATTGGGCCTGGTCACTGAATGATCCAATTAAAAGCCCAAGGTTAAGGTTCAACTCTCCAAATGTGCTAAAGTCAAAAATCAACATCCTCAAAGCCATGTCAAGGTCAGTCAACGGCCCAATCAGCTTGGCCCAGCCCAACTGACTTCCGGGCCCAATCCGCCTCCTTCATTAGCCAAGGTATAAAAGCCAACAATTTGGTCAATTCTTGGTAAGACAATAAAGCCTCAAGCAACTAAACTCTTGCACAGCTTTCTCTCTCTAATATACTGACTTAAGCATCGGAGGGGCCTTCCTCGGCGTCCCCCCCGAGGCTAGTTTACGTGTATTTGTTGTGCAGGAAACCCTCGGCTCCTGCGTCGTTCGGACCGAGACCAAGTTCCCTCAAGATAAAAGGATCTTCCGAGATTCGATTGTTTTCATCCGAAACACGGAGTATTATTTAAATGATAAAAAAAAATATTGAAAACAAGTATGATTATAAAATATATATGTTATATGTAGAAAAAAAAAAGGGCAAAAGTCTAAAGAATTGAAAAATGGCCGTAGAAAATATGAGATTGTAAATTTAAGCTACATTTGCTTGTTTACAGCATCACCTTTTTCCCCAACTAATTTGTTATTTTCGGATTATATATCATTACTTTAAACCTAACTTCATACATTCATTTGTTTGGGGTGTTATTGTACAAAAAACTTAAATACAACCTTATAATTATGGAAACGCTGTTAACTAAATTTGGCCTATAATTATTCATCCCTTCGCCAAATAATGTCCCCATAATACGCACACACCCATTAGAGAGAACCAGGAGGCCTTTTCTACTACAGTAGCTAATACAAGGTGTTCAAAAAAAATATATGTGCCAAGTTTTTTGCCATTCAAGTTCCAATTAATTGTTAAAGAGATGTTTAGATGTTGACATCCCTCACTATATGGCAATTAGTTGTTTGAATCTGACACAATATGATTTACACGGACAATAATAATCATTTTGAGAGCAGTTTTATTTACGTCGTAGTCATTTAATTTAATCAAATTCAGATCAAGTCAGACCAATATCAATTCGTGCTAATTAACCTATCATGTAATTTTATATACTTATTTTGTTGAATTCGATTAATTACTATTCCGTACTTCGTAGTAATTAATACTCAGTCATGCAATATCTACGGTTCAAATAATTAAATCAAATAAAATACGGAGTAAGGTTTATTCATACAAATCATATTTTTGAAGGTCGTTTTAACTCAAACATAAAGTGGACCATTCTAGGGATTGTTTCAAGGGCTACCAATATACTAGGTCTTTTGTAAATACTTGTACTAAGCTTGCCGTACAATCCAAGGGACAAGGGTATCTAAGTCTTCGTTCACTAGTTAGGTCTACCATTTCTACTACTTTAAAAGAACTTTTCATGCCATTATTCATACTGTTTTTGCACCAATATTTCTTCGTATTTCCATTGAAGATAGTAAGATACCATCAATTTGTCAAAATTAAACAAAAGACGAAATTTTGAGTTCACAAATAATGACTCATTTCATGCTTTTTTACTCCTTTATGCGTCATTGACGGCAATTTTATAATTCTTCAATATTCAATGACTTGGAATTGAAGAAACTACCTCGTAATTTCGCTTGATGTAACAACTCAAAATTTTTGGAGGAAATAAGTTAAAGCAGCATTCAAAGAAAGGAAAACCATTTGTTGTTTCTTATTTCGTGTCATCAACTTACATTCAAAAACTTAATAATATCTATACAAGATTAAAACATGCAATTCCAAGTCTTAATACTAGATCAGATGTATGTCTTATCATTAAGCTACGTTATAATAAAGAGTACAAACACGATCTTTTAAATAAAAGTTCATAATGTTCTATAGTGAAAGACAATATGTGAAAGAGAAATAACATTTAGTTAATTAAGATAAATTTGAATCATAAATTTATTTTTTAAAGACTGGATTTAAAAGGGTAATGATATATGTAGCTCTTAAAGTTATATGTAAGCATTAAATATCCTTCTTAAAATGAAATTAAGTTGGGAATTCATGATAAAATCACATGCAAATCGGTGTAATTAATATTAATTCTTCCTCAATATTTCCTTTTTTAACTTCTTATACATAACCCTTAGGGTTACTTATTATTTTTTTTGTAATTAATGTAATAATCCGAAATATTGTCCAAGTATAGAGTATACTGTATATTTTATGGAAAGTTCCAACTAATTTCCAATTTTCCATGATGGCAACTTTGGTCCATCCTTAGCTTTTTTTTTTTTTTTTTTTTTTTTAGGAAATCCTTAGCTTTCTTCTTGACCTTACATTGTAATCCGTTGTTCCGTACAATGTACTGTGTCTATAGTGTACTACTAACTACTTACATACTTGTACTAGAAAAGTCCAACGTCAACCCCTTAAAGTGCATTATTAAGTCTTCTTAGATAAGATGATTCCATTTAGATGTTCTTTCAAATCGTTGAAGTTTTTTCAATAAAATTAAAGTATAGGAAATTAAAAGAAAATTTTGAATCATTATATATGATGAGCCAAGGATTCAAAATTGAAAACTAATATAAAGTGGATAAATCTAAATGAAAGGAAAAGTTTGTACTGCTTAATAATTAATTAATCAAGAGGAGAGTCTGAACATTACTTATTCTTGATTAAATTCGAAGAAAATACAAGTTCATCTTCATGATAAATAGAAAAACGTTTAGCTTCATTGTGGGGAAGAAAAAAAAAAAACAAAACAAAACAAAATATGCACCAGCCGGGAATCGAACCCGGGTCTGTACCGTGGCAGGGTACTATTCTACCACTAGACCACTGGTGCTTTGATGAATATTTGAGCTTTCAGAATATTAAATAATTTTACATGTTGAATTGTTTTTTCATTAACCATATACTTCGTATTTTTCTTTGACCATATTAAATACTTCGTATAAGCTTTTATGTTATTTTTTTTTATATATATATTTTTTAAATAATGAGAATTATAATATTAAATGTGTGAAAGCGGAAATAACACAATGTGGCATTTTTTAGGAATAAAAACTATATGTGGTATATTTGTACTACATTTAGAAACTAAAAACAGCTTGTCTTATATGAAAAATAAACAATGAGATAAGTTGTAGGGCTAACAAAACAAATCCAAAAATAATAAATTCTAATAATTAACTATAATGATGTAAAAATAGCAATTACTCCATAAAATTATGTTCTGATTACTATCAACAACGCATTACTTTTCTGTAATGACTTGTTCTTTTCTCCTTGATTAACTTATAAATTGAGATGAATTTTCTTACCTCTTTTTTTTTTCCAATACACGTAAATGTCCCTTACCTATATTATGTACCTACCCTTAATTGATGTCATTCTTTAAAATGGCGACAAAAACGCCGCCTAAAGCCTTCTCCTCTTCATATAACCATCACCACCAACACCATGACCATCACCCTTGCAAATGCACCCCGTCTAAGCCCACCTTACAAGCCTTCACGGAACGTGTAACGAACGCGTTACTCCACCATATCTTCCTCCTATATAGGTCAGACCCAGAGTTTTACGTCCTAGGAGCAACAGGTAACGTGTACATTGTTAACATATCAATTACACCCTCATGCACGTGCCCTGATCGTACCACCCCATGCAAGCACATCCTCTTTGTGCTCATCAAGGTCCTAGGGTTCCCCCTCGACGATCCAGGCTTAAGGAAGCAAACCATAAGCCCTTGCCACCTCGAGAAGCTTCGAGCCACCCCAAGCTCCCCAGTATCCCTAGCAAGCCACACATTACGCCAGAGGTTCCACCAAGTTTTTTTCTTAAAGAAAGAGTTAGGCTTACGGAATGCAAACCTAAAGCCGTGTATGAAAGCAGAGGTTGGGGGTACATGTCCGATATGCCTAGAGATGGGAGGTCCGGGGATCGAATGGTGGCTTGCGAGACTTGTAGGATTCCTATCCATGAGGAATGCTTGATAACTTGGAAGAGGACTCAAAGGAAAGAATTGACAAAATGTTTAACTTGTAGGTCACAATGGAAACAGAAAGGAGATCAACAAAGATATTTGAATCTATCTGATTATGTTAGTGAGGATGAAACAAGTCCTAAAACCGAAAGATCGTAAATCGGGTTAATGCATGTTGTGGATCAATGAAGAACATACATATATATAGTTGATCAAGTAGAAGCAGAGGATCTTCCCTTGCCAGAGGAGACTCATTTTGATTTAAACTTATTAACTTCAATTTATGTCATGTAAAGTTATGTTGTAAATGTGAATACAATGTACAAATAATGTAAATTTAATTTCACTTTCTTCTCTTTTAGCTTGAACATAAATCAGATTGTATTTATTACTGTAAATATTGGACCTAGATGATAGTAATTATGTTTTTGTACAGTAATAATACTATAATTAGTACTTTTTCATCAATTCATCTGTTCTTAATAGAAAATTCTATATACATCATCCTTATGTTATGCCGATACTGATTACACATGAAAAATGACCGGAAAGGGATTCTTAAAAACAGCCCACAAGACTAACACCAACGTAGTGTTGAACTGTTGATGCCAGAACATGAAGTTGTGACACACCAGATAACACAAAATATACAACAGCTCCTATATATGAAGTCGAGGAAGCTTGAATCTTGTCAGTCGAGACCTTATTACATGCTCTTCTAGCCCAGCCACTGGCCATTACAACAGTTCAGTAGTTCCATCTTTCTACCAATAATAGGCAACTCGGATACTGACTTGTTATAGCCAATGTAATATATCTTCATTGTATCCCAAATAGTCAAATACTCTTCAATTACCAAACATGCTCTGAAATTCAACCCAGCGATTTCTCTGTAATCAGAATCACACAATACACATTCCATAATTATCTCAAGGTCATAAATTCGCAATATGAGCCACAACACTGATCCCCCTAAACAAGCTGAAATCCCTGTCAAAACTGATGCACAGGAGACAACAATGACAGAAAAAAGAATCAAACCTTGCACTGTTAACACAGGGGTTACATCTTTGATGATTTTTACCCAGAAAAATGAGCTTCGTGAAAGAAGGAAGCAATCCAAATCTAAAAAACAATTTTCTAAATAGATGGTTTGTGATATATTTTAACCTATGTGGGAAGTTGGAGCAAAAAAACTTGCAACCTAAACCCTGAAATAACTTGAGAAAAGCAAACACAAGATATACTTACCAAGGCAAATTAATCAAGGCTCCATATGTCACTAATGCTAATTAGCTCATGCAGTAATCATTGATTCAAGATAAAAGATCACGCTAGTAATCAAACTATGAGCTCACAGGTTTATACATGAATCAACCAAATGCTTCTATATAAGCACTTATACATCTCAATTCTCAAGTGCCTTCCTTCAGCATCTCCATTTGATGGACACCTATGTTCTAATTTTTGTAGATTAAAGACCCAAGGAGAAAAGAGAGAAAAAAGACTAATCAACTTCAAATATTGCACTCTGGTATGATAATTTAAGAGGTACAAAAAGCGATAAGGCAATAGCTGCAACACTTAGCATTTACAAAGAGGGAAACAACTGAGTCTGTGAATACAAAAGACAGCAGCAAAAGAGCAAACTTGACTACAGTGAAACAAAAGAGCTATACTATATAAGAATACACTCGTATCTAGTCAATCTTGGTCATTAGGTGTGCTTTTGGTTAGATGTAAGAAATTGTACACTTGCACTTTTCGTGACTTTGTGAGGGATTACAATATTTACAATTTCCTAAAATACTATTTCCTAGGAAGTGTAAAATTGGTTAATTCACTGCATTAAGTTCTAATTCCGGGTTCCCATGGAAATTTGAAGTTCCACTTACCTTATGATGATGGAATGACAGTTCATAACAGTTGAAGATTTAGCAATAGAAAGGCCAGACAAAGTGTACTCAGGAAAAGTTAGTAATGAATCATGTCATTTGAATAAAAAATCACTCCCTGTGGCTAAAACATGCAGCTTTTCACACTTCACAGTTTGTAATCCTCAATTTTTCATCCTTACCTTCTTGCCTTTTATACAAAAGTGTTGCGACTCTTACGAGTAATAACTAATCCTTATTTCGTTCTTCCGTCTCTTTCAATCAACTAAATTAGCTCATTTTTCCCTCCAAATACAAAGAACATAAAAGCCATAGGCCCAAAGTTTCGACTTTTCCCCACACCTTTCCCAAACTCTAAAATTCTAAATTAGAGAGTAAGCAAAAGAATGTAGCACAAACAAACTAAGCAGAGAACATACGAATACACTATCAACATTCTGGCAAAGCAAGATAGAGCATAAACAGATAAACCCAATAACAATCATCAAAATCAACAAGAAGTATTCACACAAGCATATCTATTCCTCATATATCACCATGGGACCTTACTAGGCATCAATTACTGAGATTCAAATTTTCAATAATCTGCACAAATCATTCAAATGGATAACATCAAGAACATAAATCAGCCTACCAAACTAAGTAGTCTAATACAGAAATGACAAAGAAAACAGTCAAATATAAAGGATTAATGTAAACTTGTCAATACTTAGAAAACAGAATATGTTGATAATGTCACTTACCCACATGAAAAAACACCCCTATCTTCAACTCATCATTGCTCTTTATGGCTCTCTATGCTAAACCTAGGATAAATCCCGTCTACATCATTTCCCTTTGCGGCTCTCTATACACTTCAACAAATCAGATTAAAATTACAAATATATTTCTCCATCAATCGGGTTGATTTCTATCTTTCAATAGCTCAGACCCTCTAAAATTTGTGACTTCATAGCTCAAATTCAATTCAGAAAGCAACCCCAATTGATTCCCAGCTAACAATTCAAACCCTAAATTCCCATTGAAAAGACCCAAACCCGAGACCCAAGAAATCAACCCACCCACCTCCTTCTTCCTCACCTTTCTCTCTCTACAAGCAATCCGGGCCGACCCAAACGGGCCCAAGCACTTATCTTTGGAAAACTCCCCACATTTTTCCTTCGACCCTTGAAGACAAGCAGCCATTTCTCTCTCCTCACACTCGCTTCTCTCTTTGAAATCGATTTTCCCGAAAAGGGTCTTCCACCAAGGTGGTTTACAGTTGTTTGATGCGGTTATGGAGCACCCGATTCGTACCCCTGCTTCACATTGTTCCAGAAGCTTCGACTCGCAGAATTTGAGGGAAGAGAAGAAGGATTGTGGGGTAGGGAATGCTAGGACGAATGGGCCGAGTTCCGGGTCGTCGGTCGGGCCGGCGGGAATGGGGCGGCGGATGAGAGGAAGGGGGCGGTCGAAGTGGATGAGGGTTGCTGAGGCAGAGTAGTCTTCTTCGTTTGATGATGGTTCCGCCATTGGTTTTGGGTTCTGTTTTGGAGATGATTAGGCTACAGATGATAAATAAATGGGGTCATTACTCATTACTTCGTTAGTACTTCCTTCGTTTTAGATGCAACACACCCTTTAACGCGGTAATTAAGAAAGGCGGGGTTTACATAATATAATAAACTTTAAATAGGATGAGTAGTTGTTAAGAGTGTAACTTAATGGCCCATGTATTTTAAATAGGGAAATAATATAGTTTTTCCTAAAATAACTTTCCTTTTATAGTGTGTTGCAATTATTGTGACATTTCCTTTTTAGGGAAGAGTTGCAAGTAAAAGAAAACGGAGGAAGTATTAGATAAAGTCACTATACATACATTTGGACCTTAACCCTAACTTGACACTCCAAGATTAACCTTTTTTTACGTTGCGTTTGAGAACGATAATTTTTTTCTTTGGGTAATAAAAGGTGATGTGAAACGCTAAACATCGCCCGCAATTTACCATATAAAGCCCACAAATATGTTATGATTTGACCATTATGCCCTTTTGCTAAAATTGAAATAATCTCGGTGTAAAAAATGTGGAGCCGTACTGGCTCGCCGGGGGAGACCGGATGGCAGGCCGGAGATGCGGGGGACGCCGGAGGTACGTCGTCGTCGACGGAAAACGAGGTAAGTCACCGTTAAAATTCACGATTTACCGTCGGAGTGGCTCCGGCGCCTAGGGTGGACGCCCAAACCGTAGCCTGGACGTCCAAGCCGGACGCCAGAACCACCAGAGTGGCGTCCAGGCTAGACGCCCAGACCACCAGAGTGGCGTCCAGCCCAGACGCCCAGACCACCAGACTGGCGTCCTGGGCAGACGCCACTCCACTGGGTGAGGCGGCCCTGCCAGGCGCCAGTCCAGTGGCTGTGGCAGCCCTGGCAGACGCCACCTTTAATAATTAATTTTTATTTTTTCCTTTTTGATTTTGTTGTTGTTTTTTATTTAATTTTTTTGTGAAAAAAAAAATCGAAAATGATTTTTTAAAAAAATTCGAAATAGGTTTTTTTAAAATTAAATTTGAAAATTCGAAATGGTATATTTTTAAATTTAGTTTGAAAATTCAAATTGGGTTTTTATAAAAATTAAGTTTGATTATATATAATTATGTTTTTTTTTGTGTTAATTATGTGGAAATATAGAAATTAAATGTATTATCCGTTAAATGTATTTATTGTAATATATAATTGATGCAGGAATATGGTGGAGACGGAAATGATTACAGTGGGATATTTGGACATGATGGTCCATTCGAAGAAGCTCAACAGGCGATTGATTGGGCAAAACAGGTTGCAATTGCAGCTGGATTTTGCTTGGTAGTAGCAACTCATAAATCTCAACGGGATGGTAGAATGGATCGCATTTTGAGATGTGACCGTTATCGCAAAAGAGAAGAAAGAGATTTTCGTACAGCCACTCGGTTTGACACAAAGCGGAAAGGTTGTGGGTGTGAGTTCAGAGTAAAGGTTCGACAACTACGGAGTCGTGACGGTTGGGAAGTGATAGGTTACTCTAAATGGGGGTATCACAACCATGAGATGATAGTATATGAAGAGGGTCATCGACAACTGAGCGGCTTAAGTCCTGCTGCGAAACTAGTTGTGAAAGAAATGAGTGAAGCCTGCTAAAATATTAGCATCTGTGTTAGAGAAATTTCCAGAAGACCATCCAAACCGAAGACACATCTACAACGTCAGACAGCAGCTCAGGTTTGAACGGTCAGAGGGAAGGAACCCTATACAGCAGCTGCTACACCAGGCACAATCACGTGGTTACCTGTTCTGGTTTGATTCTGATGAAGATACAGCGGAGGTGACTCATCTTTTTCTTGTGCATCCTGATTCGTACCAGTGGTGTCCGGCACTGGTGGACTATGTGATGCATCAATGGGTCCCTCACAGGGAAAAGTTTGTCAAATATTGGACAAACCAGGTACTTCATTTTGGGAACACTACAACATGTAGAGTTGAGAGCGCTCATAGAGCTACCAAGGACTGGATTGATTCATCGACCGCTGCTTTGGATACACTGTTCGCTAGACTGAACAAGTCAATTGAAACTCAGAAGAGGGCGGCCGCTGCAACTCCGCTGTCCATAAGCGGGCCACCATCGGAAACTGGTCCCACGTCCCGGTCATGATATCCGGCCATTCCACGACGTACTCCCTCGACGATGCAGGTCGGACCGCCTTCATCGGGCACGCCGGGGGAGGAGGGACAACTTGGACAAATCCAAGCTGGCGAAGACAACGCTGGGGCATGTACGCCTCGACGATGTCACGATACTGAATGAGTCCCGTGTACAGGGTCCTGGGTACCCTAACACTAGGGTTCGGGCCGAAAGGCATCCAGTTCACCTGTACAATTACAACATATAAAATTTAATAACATGAATATAATATGTGCAAATAATAAAATGTAGACTCTATAAATAAACGTTACCTCTAAGGGGGACAGCCTGTCCAGCAATAACCGTATCGATCGGAGGCGGTCAACGGACTTCTTCTCCGAGCGCGGACTCCACGCACAAGCACACGGCATCCCCTCATCAATAGGAACTGGGTCACGATGTGGTCGCAATGCAGGAAAGTACTCGTATATCCAAGTCTGCAATAGAGTCAGACACCCAGTGATACCTGCCGCGTCAGCCCGACTCGCAAATCCTAGTTGGCGATACAAATACGCCAACGTAGTCGATCCCCAGGAAAACTGGCCTACACTGTCGGGGTCACACGCCTCTACGATGTCGCGTGGCCTGAGCTTGTTTTCGCCGCTCTTATCCGGAAACAAGGTACATCCGAGGAGTAGAAAAACATAAGCACTCAGCTGTGCGTCGGGCGTCCTACGTGCACTCGGGTACAAACACCGCTGCAACACGGATGCGATCTTCACACCTCTGTGTTCCCAAACACCTAGCGCCTCGGTGTACAGTGCAGCCCTGTCCACCGCCAACAACTCCGCCAGCGAATCTGCCTGATCCGCATCAGCCACAGCACAAAGTCGTTTACCCTCAACACGAATCCCCAGAATGGCCTCGACGTCATGTAACATGATCGTCATCTCACCGAACGGAAGGTGAAAAGAGTTTGTATCCGGCTGCCATCGCTCAATGAAAGCCGTGATCAGCGTACTGTCAATCTTATCGTGCATGGTGGCAGGAACGTGCTTCACCCCAGTGCCCTCCAGTCGCTCGAACATCTCGCTCTCCGCCGGCCAGGCCTCAGCCCATGTACGCAAAAAGCTACAAGTCTTTTCCCGGGTATGACATTTCAACAACCCCGTAACTGAAGGCCTCTCCTGGTCCTCCCAAATACGGGCAGCTATGTGTCCTAGAAAGCTAGGAATCACACTCCCGTCAACAGGCCCACCGGGCACCTCACTCCTAACAACCCAAGAATCATTACCCGCCCTCGACCGTTTCCTGCTTGCCCCAGATACAGTGGACGCAGATGATGTGCCAGATCTACTAACAAACCTACCACCCCTACCCTTACGCACCTCCACCATATGCGTCTCGTACATGTCATCAACCCTCTGACTGAATGGACCGTAATCATCATACGGTCCACTGCCATCGTCCACATCCTCATCCTCATCTGCGCCCTCCTCCTGCTCCTCCTCCTGGTCACCCTCCTCAGCATCATCATCGTCATCGTCATCCTCATCCCGACGGTGGATCCGTTCTCTACGAACTGAGGCCGAAATACCACGGGATCTGACATGTCTATGCCCCGACCTCTCCACTGAATAACTTCTACTAAGAAGCTCTATATTCTTCCCCCCACCATGACGACCCTACACAAAATTTTAAAATATATAAACATACAAAAATTTATACGATAAATAATCATCATCGCAAATCAAATAAACTAAAAACATACAAATAATTGTAAACAAAATATAAACGTAGAAAAAATACAACGAAATTGAAAAAATTTATAAAAATAAACAACAAAATATAAAAACAATTCAAAATTATATTACAAAAAAAAAAAAAAAATTAAAAACAATTTTTTAAAAAAATTAAAAAAAAAATTAAAAAAAAATAAAATTGGGGGGGGCGCCTTGGCTGGACGCTCAGCCGGCGGTGGTGGCGCCAGATGCAGACGCCGCCACCAGTTGGCTGGCGCCTGGGCTGGACGCCACAGCCACGGCTGCGACGCCTAGAATAAACGCCACAACCGTGGTTGTGGCGTCCAGCCCAGGCGCCAGCCAACTGGTGGCGGCGTCTGCATCTGGCGCCACCACCGCTGGCTGGGCGTCCAGCCAGGGCGCCCCACCGCGTTCACGGCGGTTTTCCCCTTTTTTTTTTTTTAAACAAAATATACCTTTCCTCCTTGGGACATCCTTCCCTCCGCCGCCGCCGCCACTTCCTTGCCTTGCCGCCTCGACATTGCCGTTATTTTGAATTTTTTTTTTTTAGAGAGGTTGAAAGAAGATGAGCAATGAGAGTGTGAGTGATGAGAGTGTGAGTGATGAGAGTGTGAGTGTTTTTTTTTTTAAGGTCAAGGGCAATTTTGGGAAACCAAGTGAATTTTGTGGGCTTTATGTAGTAATTTGTGGGCGATGTTTAACAAATCCCATTATTCCCAATAAAAGGGACCTTCAGACAATGTAGAGTTGATTGCTTCAATACTGTTCGATTTAACTTGACTTGAAAATGTGTAGATTTGGACTGGTTAATAATATGTTATGAATTCAAATTTGATTTAAAATTTGGTTTGAAAATTCTGTCTGAATTTGTGAGATTTTATGAGTTGTGGATTCCTCATAGTGCAATTTCTTGACTTTTTCAAAATTCTCATGAAACACAAACAAAACCCTTTTCCATCACTTGCATATGTGTTTAGGTGACGGAGTACAGCCCGCTTTTTGCCATAGCTTCATGTTGTGGCAAGCTTGAGGTTCAAGCTCATATTTTTCAACTAAAAGTTAATTTTTAGTTGTCTAAATGCCTAGAATTTTTCAAGAAATCAAATCTAGTTGAGCTGGCCCCAAATTCAAACACAAATTGAATTTTTTTTTTTTTTTACCAAAATGCTCTCGATCACCTATGGTTTTGAAGAGAATGACAATCTCTATTTTATTGAGTTGGGTTGTAACCATTTATTCCATCTACCTTTCACATGCATGAACTCAGATACAAAAGACCATGAGATAAGTAATTTGAAACATAAGTGTATAAGAGAATATCCGAGAAATGAAAGTTTTATGACCAAAATACAGGTGAGATAGCTGAGCCCCGCCTACTAAGTTACTCTTATTTTTTTCGATATTAAACTTTAAGGTGAGAAAGTCAAAATCCGTCCCGCCCTGTCCGGTTGATATCTCTATTAATAATTAAGAGCATTGCATAATAATAATAAAAGCATATACTGTACTTTTTATAAATAAATAAAGATAATGTAATTAAAGGCATATCAAGGAAACTCCGATAATTTTGTCCAAGTGTTTCTAACCATGAATATCTTACTAGGTTATTGTAGTGAAACTCCGATAATTTTATAGTAAATGTTTCTAATGAGCACCCGTAAATCCGTAATGTCTAACCCTCTAATTGTGGAAGATGCCCTAAGGGAGTGAAAAATCTAGGGGAAAAGGATATTTATAAAGAAAAGAAAGTACACATCCTAAGCAAATCTCTCTAAATTAAGTGGGAGCTAAGCAGCCTTCTCTCTATTTCTCTTTTCCTCATTTTATGTGTTGATGTTTTCTTGCAGCGCATTCCCTCTTCCCTGAAATCGAAGATAAACTCATTCTTTCCGATCAAAGGTAACACACTTCAAAAAATTATTCGGAGTATGAATTATATTTTTTTTTCCTTTTTATCTTTATGCTCTTGCTTATAATTTGCATGAATTGTTGAAAATTGTTTATTTATCTGTTTGCGTTCACCAAATGCTAATCTTGGAAGTGGGTATTTCATGCTATGAACTGTTGATTGCTTTACTTATCTGAATTTTTATCTTCAAAGATTATGAGTTGCTGGGGTTTAGGGTTTAGGGTTTTAGGGATTTAGGGTTTTTTGGACCCAATGACTCTAAATTTGCGGATTATTGTCATAGTTTGTTAATGGGTATAGTCTATTTTCTTCGAAATTCCTCCCTTTCTTGATAATTGCCTCAATTAAGGGGTTTTGCTTTACAATTGTAACTTAAAGTCAAATGGAGTTAAATTGGAGTTGAGAACAACTTTAAAGGTTCCTTTTTTTAGGTGTGTTTTAGTGGAGATTGATTGAATTTATGATGCTTTTTAGTGTATTGTTGAAACTTGGTAAAAGGGGTTGTTTTTCGAACAATGTTGAAGCTGGTACTCCTTTTTATATGCAACATCAAATGCCTATTCTTTGCGAGTCTTTTTTAGTTTAGTCATGAGGTATTTTTTTGTTGGGAGATTCAGCTAGACAATGGCTAATGTATAAGCTCAATTCGTTATTAAGCGACGTGTCGTCCTCGATATGATCTGAACTTCTAACTCTTCCATATTCTTACATCAACTTCTAGGAATGTACTGTCCTTGTTCTTCAGAGTTGTTCAGATGTAGCCATTCTATACTGTACTGAGACCTAACACTGATTAATCTTGGGCTTTCTTAAAGTGCATGAAGGAGGAATAGAAATAATCTTGATTGTACCAATTTGGTAAAGGCCTGATTTTTGTCATAACTTTATATAGTAGTATGCTTCTGGTTCTTCGCCAACTGATGTTACGGATGCTTAGTAGTTAGTAAATCTGCACTTCATGATAATCATCCTTCAACCTGCAAGTCTAGAGTTATGAGATTTGTAGCATATTTTCTTGGAAAAACAAAACATGATCAAACTCAATTTGATAGAAAATGGATGCATGGTGGTTGTTTCTGGCAATCTCAGTTGGTTTAACCCAGCCCCTGTCCAGTGGACACATTGTGAAGGATATGACATGCTACCAGTGCTTATATGCAAATGCTGGGTCCAGTACATTAGACATGCTACCTGTGCATATATGCCAATGCTGGGACCAGTGCATAAAGGGAGCACTATCTGGCTAGACAAGCAACTTAATGCTGAGACTGTAAGCCTGTTAGGTTAATGTGCCCATGTATGTAGTTAGATATGGCCTGTATTTTTTCTATCGTGTTTATAATCTGAAATTGTTTGGCAACATATGCTAGCTATTAGCTTTCATTTTGTTGAAGTGTATGCTTCACTGCTTCTAAATTCTAATTGCTTCAAAGTCTATTATCAAAGAAAGTGGTAATGTATTTGTGCTGTTGGATAAAGTTCTTATCTGGTTAAAGTTGGAGATTGTTGATGACTAGCTTCTGACTCTGTTGAATATCTTGATAATAACACTATATATTTAATGAACTGGCTTTTTAGGTTCTGCAGTATTAAGGGGATATGTCCAAGAAAAAAAACCCTCAAGTGTTTTTAGATGTATCAATTGATGGGGATCCTGTCCAAAGAATTGTTATTGAGGTAATTTGAATATAACTACACCTGTTTCTAATATTGTGCATGTGTAGGGTTTTGGTGGTATAGGCATTCTCATTTTCTATATGTAGATATCTGTTGTATGTAATTTTGTTAACATGTGGCTATGACCTGCAGCTTTATGCAGATGTTGTTCCTAAAACTGCAGAAAATTTCCGAGCACTCTGCACAGGTCTTTTTCTTTCCAAAACCTTTATTTTATGGTACTTGCAATTAGTCTTTCCACTAGGTTACTCGTGCAATGCACAAAAATGTTTGCAAAAATTATGTGTCACGAGAAATTTTAACTCCTCATGTATAGTAATCATAATGAAAATTTTACAAATTAAAGACATAGCCTTTAATTGTATCGATAGGGGCTTCCTTGAACTATCCGGAGCTTACTATAGAGCCGTAAAGAAGCTTCTACTGAATTTTTTTTAATGCTTTTATTTTAAACCGAAAGGTAATTCATATTAAAATACTTTTTACAAGTAAAGGTTATGAAATAGCTTAGCTCATTATGAAAATGGTAAAAGGGATAAACTTGATATAAATGAAGGTAAATTCATAAAAACACGACGTATATATACGAAGTATAAAATAAGAAAATTTAAATATGGAAGTTTTTGGGAAGTATTGCAATCTTGCAATAAACGTGCATGGAAAAGTATAGAATCATTAGTGTATTTTGGAAGATTAAAATAGATTATAAAATCATTTAGATGGGAAAAGAAGACTGAAGGAGAAACTTCTATGTGGAGAATGGTTTGGTTGATTTCAACTTTTTTTTTTTCCTATCTAAGATATTTTACCGAGCATCCTTTCTGTCTTATATTTTAATTGCAATAAGCTAAAGACAACATACCTGTGTATGGTTTTACTGTTTCAGGCGAAAAAGGTGTGGGAGCTACTACAGGGAAACCATTGCACTTCAAGGGATCAAATTTCCACCGCATAATCAAAGGATTTATGGCCCAAGTACTTCCTAAATTTTTGCTGTTTCCTTTGTGATTTCCCAATGGATGTGAATTAAACTTTCTGAGAAGCTTCATGTCTTTGTAGTTGTGTGCAATATTGCCTTTGGCTTCTCTTTCCTACATGTAATTCTAGTGAACTATCTCAGCAATTTTACATCAGTTGTGGTTTTTGTTTTCTAAGCAATTTTGCATCAGTTGTGGTTTTTGTTTTCTAAGAAATTTTGCATCAGTTGTGGTTTTTGTTTTCTAAGCAATTTTGCATCAGTTGTGGTTTTTGTTTTCTAACTGTTTGTGTGAGTTGTTGGTTTTCCTTAGAATTATTAGCTATAACATAGGAGCTGGAACACATCAAACTGGCTAGTATATCCGCTCCTTCATATTATTGTTTTGAATAACATAATTAGTTATGATAATTTGGGATTTAAGAACTCCATGCCATGAGCTGGCTGGTACTTCCAAGATAGTTAGCTTTGTTTTTAGTAGGATGATTATTATTGCATAGTACTTCCAAGATAGTTAGCTTTGTTTTTAGTAGGATGATTATTATTGCATAATATGCTTGTCAACAGTGTAGCAGAGGGTGTATGTTCTTGTTTCCCACCCTTTATATCTTCCCTCCTTTTTCTTATATATAATAAACATATGTTCCCAATGTCTAGGGTTGATGATATGAGAGTATTTTTATTATTATTTTTATATCAACAATGGGATGTATGCATTGCTTTGGTAGTTACTGAATAAGGCCTGTTTTGAATGTAATCTGTGATTATCTGTCACACTCATGCATGTGATATATTTATCTGAGTTTCCATCTTTTCAATTTCTTGTTGTTGGTTCCTGATTGCTTATGCATTGTCCTTTAAATAATTAATATCACCGAAACTCTGACAATTTTGCTTATTGTACAGGGGGGTGATTTTTCAAAGGGAGATGGTATGGTCCAAATACTTCTATTGATCCCTTTGCCTTAATATTTTAATAATGCAGATTTCTGTTTAACTTATATGTTTATGCCCAGATGTAAGGAACAAAATTTTACTGCTTTGCAGGCACTGGTGGAGAAAGTATCTATGGTGGCAAGTTTGCAGGTACCACTCACAAGTGCATATAGCTGGTGGTTGCCTTTGGACTTGGTTATATAATTTATTTATTTATTTATTTATTTATTTATTTTTGACAGATGAGAATTTCAAATTGGAGCATAGTGAACCTGGACTTCTCTCTATGGCAAATTGTGGTCGTGATACCAATGGATCCCAGTTTTTTATAACCTTCAAGCGTACACCTCATCTTGATGGGTACATGCGAATCTTTACTATTTTTTCTTCAAACTTTAACTATGTGTACACCTACATTCGAATTTGATGAACGTTTGACCTATCGCATGGCAGGAAGCATGTTATATTTGGAAAGGTTGTGGAGGGAATGGATGTTGTGAAGAAAATGGAACAGTTTGGAACTTCTGATGGGCGGCCTATTGGGCAAGTCAAAATAGTTGATTGTGGTGAAGTTTCCTCTGGTAAAAAGGAAACTGCAGTTAGGACTGAGAAAGGTGAGATTAGAAATGTGTTAACATGGGATCTAGTGTAAATAGTGTTAGGCTGTATACTTCATACGCTGTAGCTTCCCTTGGTGCTGATTATGGCTTTCTTTTTTAGGTAAAGCTAAAAAAATGAAAAAGCTTCCAAGTTCTGATGATAGTTCAGATGGCAAAGCTAGAGGACGACGTAAGAGATCTCCAAAAGACAGGAGGAGAAAGAAGAGGAAATATTCTTCATCTGACTCATATAGTAGCTCGTCATCTGATCAATCTGATTCAGATTCCGATTCCTACACTTCAGACTCAGATTCTGGTTCAGAATCGGATGCCTCCTTATCTGACTCCAGCTCATCCAGTGATGATAGGCGCCGGAAGAGAAAGAGATCTTCAAAAGGCCCTAAGCGGGTGCAGAAAAAGAGTAGGGGGAGCAGCAAGAAAAGTCGACGTAATGGGAAGAAATCTAGACGAAAGTCTAAGCGGTGCGTATATGATAAGACCTCTCTCATATCTTCTGTTAGTTACCTTGCATTATGATGTTCTACTCCATATTATTACCTTGCATTATGATGTTCTACTCTCCATATCTGATGCAGGAGTTCTGAAAGCTCCAGTGACAGTGAAACGACTAGTGGCTCTGAGGAAGAAAAGTCTAGACATCGCAATTCTTCAAGTAAGATGATGTGCTGTCTGAATATCTTCTGCTTCTGCATTCGATTTCTTGCCATAAGTTACATATGATTGAACTTTTGCAGTTTTTTTATTTTAGGGTTTATGAATTTCAAAGTATGTATTAGTTTATATTATTTTCAAGTTTTTGCTTGTTGATGTTCCAGAGTTGAAGAAGAAATCTTCCATATCTATTGAGGAACAGCAACAAAAGGTTCATGCGCAGAAAGCAGAGGTGGAGAGTGAACTTTCTCGAAGGACTGAACGTATTTCAAACAGTGAAAATGGTAGGGAAATGAAGTCTGAGAAAGTTAAAGAGTCATCCTATGATGGAAGCAGAGAGAAACCTAGGTTTGTCACTGAATAACCTCTTGCTTGCATAGCTTCACTTTGTTTGGAAAGTTTTTGTAGATTTATGCTTGGATATATACATTGTCGAATGGGGCTGATAATTTCTCATTTTGTGAAGTGTACTTATTATATGATAATTTTGCTGTCGGAATACTCTTATCAGGTCCCAGTCTAGTAGTCCAAAGAATATTCAAGGAATCAGCCCAAGGCGTGACACTAGTTTAAGCCCCTATAAAGGGCATGATGGGAGTCCTGAACCACAGCATGAGAATAAAGTTCCTGTTGAGGAGCCTGTTTTGCCTCCTGCTTCTGCTCAGAGTCAAGAAGTGTCAAAATCTATGCCTGAAAATGATAATGGTGAACCTAAGCGCGTTAGAAAGGGACGAGGATTCACTGAGAAATTCGCCTTTGCACGCCGATACAGAACCCCTTCTCCAGAGCGCTCACCTCGTAGGCCATTCAATTATGGTGGTAGGAATTATTATGACAGGAACCGTGATAATAGGTAAGTGTGTTGGTTACATACTGCTTCTGAGCTTGAATAGAAGGGTAGAACCTCATAGCTAACCGTTCCTTGTCTGCACAGGTTTTCGAGCTACAGAGGTGGATCAGATCGTTCACCTCGCCGTCGTTACAGGAGCCCTCCAAGAAGAAGATCCCCTAGGTTCTCTCTCTCTCTCTAGTAACTTAGCTTTATAGTACGAGTTTAAACGACAATTTATGTTCCTGTTTATAGGTGTGTCTGTTTTTTTAAGGCATTGATAACTGATTTGGCATGACCCAATGTAATTTTGATTCAGGAGGAGTCGAAGTCCTTCCCACAGTCCAAATGACACACGTGGACCCAGGCGGAATCGGAGCCGGAGTCCAGCACATGGTTCCAGTCTAAGGCGGGATAGGAGCCGGAGTCCAGTTCGTGGTTCCAGTCCAAGGGAGAGACGCCCAGAAATCAGTGATAGGCTAAGATCTCGTCTTGGCCCCCGAGAAGATAATCGACGTTCTCCTGTAAAAGCAAGATCAAGATCTAGGTCAAGGTCCAGGGGACGCAGCTCATCCCGTTCAAGCTCACCCAATGTTGGTTCACTTAAGCGCCGGAAGAGAGGGTCTGCATCTCCTACCAAATCAACCTCAAGCTCACCTGTCGGGCAGACAGGTCTGGTAGCCTATGGAGATGCTAGCCCTGATGCTGCATCAACGTAGATATATGCTACGGAAACTATGTATCGCACGTTAAATGGTAAGTTGAAATTTGGGGAACTTGGTTTACGTGGCACTTTTGATACTCTGCCTTGGTTCAAATTTTAGCATGTTTCTGGTGGTTTTTCAGGCTTTGGCCATTTAGATGTAGCATCTGCATCATTCTTAAATCTTTGTTCCTTGCAACTTTTTTTTTTTTTTTTTAAATTTCAATCATGTTAGGCGAGGAGATGTAGGATACAGTTTAGAACTTAGTAATGGGATTAGGTCTCGAGTCTTGATCCTCTGGGGTGAGAATTTAGTGTCTGTTTCCAAAACTGATTTTTCTAATGCATGACACTGAGTTTTTCCTGCCTCAGGTATGTGTATGTGTTTTACTTGTATCGTCCTCGGCTTAATTCAAGGCTCCCATACTAATTTGATGATGCTTGATTCAGGAACTATGGTAACTAAGGTAAATTTTGACGTCAATGACAACTGTGTTGCTACTTGCTATCTTATTTGACCAACACCGTTAGGGGGGATCTAGGTAGCTCACGGTTGTGCTTACCAAGAAAAGACCTGATTACTTTCTTGCCCTGTTAAATTAACCTTTAACGTACATGTCTCCCTTCCATAAATTCAAGGCGACGTCAACTTTTACATGACTGAGTCACAAAATCATGAAAATGACCCGATTTCGTATATTATAAGCCTTTAAATTTAGCACTTGACAAACATTTTTAAACTGGGCAAAATTAGGTTAGTGGTGCTTTCTAATAAGGTTCCCAAAGGGCCCTCGGAGTCTAACTTGGTACCTAGAGCTATCAAAAGTTGACCCGATTTGAAATACCGACTCAAACTTGATTATTAACCGACCCATCTGAACCCGAAAAAATGGTGACCTAAACCGATCTAAAACCAACCTTAGACCCGAGTATGTGAGACTCGAACCCGAACATAAACTGACCTGAAGATGACCCGACCCGAATGTAACCCGTAAATTATTGACCTAAACCGAACCCGACTTGAACCGAAATTGACCCAAACTCGTTATAACCCGTTAAAACCCGGATTTTTCCCGACTTGTTACTAACCTGATCGGAATTCAACCTGACTCATTCCTAACCCGACCTAATTTTAACCCAACCTGTTACAAACCCGACCCGAAATCAACCCGACTTATTATTGACCTGACCCAAATTCAACCCGACATGTTATTAACCCGACCCGAATTTTACCAGACCTATTACTAACCCGACCCAAAAATTCAACCCGATCTGTTACTAACCCGACTTGAAATCAACACGACTTGTTATTATTGACCCGACCTAAATTCAACCCAAATTGTTCCTGACCTGATTTCAAATCACCTTAAATGCAATTTAGACCACCTTATCATTATTGATCAAAGCATTTTTGCTAAGGAGACCAAGTCGGTCCAGGCCAGCAAAAGAAAGGAGTATAATCCTCAAATTTAAGTGTTAAATCATCTTCAATTCGGGTTTAACTTTCTCCTTTTGGGAGGAACTTTTCTCCCTCGAAAGAAAGGGTTTCCGATCTCCTTCGAAAGACAAGGGTTTTTTCGACCTCCTTCGAAAGACAAGGTTTATCTCCTCTTTTCGAGGGAGAAATTTCTTAGTTTTGAATCCATGGTAGCAGATCTAATGGATTGTCGTGAAATTATTTCGTTGGTGAAAAAGTTATCAAGTTTTCGAATACGAACAGATGAATCAGAAGGAAATCATCATCACGGCTACAAAGGATCGTTAGATTGTCTCTCCAACAAGGCTGTAATTTTCAGCGATATAAGCGGGAGATGCTCCGCAGTGCAAGATCTACTCGACGATCGTAGTTTTTATGAAGGAAAATTTTATTTGATTCAATATCTTATGTATTTGTTAACGCCGAATCTCTATTGTAGATGTCGTATGACTTTTAATTAATGAAATATTTTTGCTATTCAAAAAAAAAAAGTGTTAAATATAGTATATATTTGTGGTATAGTCAAAGGGATAATTATCTTCCTAAATTATAAACTATAGTTCCCTAGTATATTGATATATTATAGTCAAAGGAAATAATTAGCTTGATAAAAATGATAATTATCTATTTATAGTTAGTTAAATCCGAATATGACTTGACTTGGAAATGACCTGACCTGATTGTAACCTACAAATTATTGACTTGAACATAACCAGACTTGACTCCGAGAATGACCCAACTTGGAAATGACTCAACCTGATTATAACCCACAAATTATTGACTTGAACCGAACCCGACTTGAACCCGAGAATGACCCGACTTGAAAATGACCCAACCTGATTATAACACACAAATTATTGACTTGAACCGAACTCGACTCAAACCCGAGAATGACCCGACCTGATTCTAACCCGCAAATTATTGACTTGAACCGTACCCGACTCGAATCCGAGAATTACCCTAATCCGTTTTAACTCGTGAAAACCCGAATTAAACCCGACATGTTGTTCACCCGACCCAAATGTAACCCGACCCAAACCCGATAAGAAGTATAACCCGACGTGACCCGACCCACATAGGTTATGGAATTAATCTGAATTGACCCTGGCCCGAGTTGATCCGGCCCACTCTTACCGACCCAAACCCAAACCGTTTACTCGAATTGACTACTCTATCCGAAACCTCCAAAATTTCTCAAAAAGCGTGGATATTAGCCTTCAATTTTGGAATTTTTTGACTTTTTTTTAGCCGGAAATAAAAATTGACGAAATGTTTACCATGGTCCCTAATACCCCCCGGAAGTCCAATTGGCTAGTTGGAATCATCCAATTTGCCTTTAGACGACCAATTTACTGGTTTATAACTTGCACTGATTTCATTAACTCAAGCTTACCACGAATAATTATAACATATAATGATCATATATGGATCCAAACGACATTATATGACTTCGAAATATATCCCCTAAAATCTCAATGCTTTTCGACACCGGGCCTCGAAACATTCGAAATTTCTCAAAAAGCGTGGATATTAGTCTTTAGTTTTGGAATTTATTGTGTTATAAACTCTTACTTTGTTGTAAATTGTTATTATTATGGATGTCCATTATGGTGTATAACCCCCCATCTTTATGACTCCCATTGTAACCCCTTTACTTTTTTCGACCGGATAAAAAAATTGCCAAAATGTTTGTCATGGTCCCAAATACCTCCGGGGGTCCAATTAGGTTGGTGGAACCGTTCAATTTGCCTTTAAACGACCAATTTATCGGTTTACAACTTACATCGATTTCATTAATTCAAGCCTACCACGAACATTTATGGCAATAAATAATGATCATATATAGTTCCAAATGACATTATAAAACCCCGAGATGTATTCCCTAAAATTTCAAGACTTTTCGACACTGGGCCCCGAAGATTCCAAAGATTCTCAAAAAGCATGGATATAGCTTTTAATTTTTTAATATTTTGACTTTTTTCGCCCAAAAATTAAAATTACCGAAATATTTACCATGGTCTCTAATACCCACCGAGAGTCCAATTGGGTGGATAAAACCATCCAATTTGTCTTTAAACAGCAAATTTACTAGTTTACAACTTGCGCCTATTTATTAACTCAAGCCGACCACAAACATTTATGACAACATATAATGATCATATATAGTTCCAAACGGCATTATATGCATGACCCCGAGACGTATCCCCTAAAATCTAAAGGCTTTTCGACGCAAGGTCCCGAAACCTCCAAAATTTCTCAAAAAGCGTGGATATTAGCCTTCAATTTTAGAATTTTTTTACTTTTCTTCGCCCGGAAATAAAAATGCCGAAATGTTTACCATGGTCCCAAATACCCTGGGAGACCAATTGGGTGGGTGGAACCATCCAATTTGCCTTTAAACGACCAATTTACCGGTTTACAACTTGCACCAATTTAATTAACACAAACATACTACGAACATTTATGACAACGTATAATGATCATATATGGTTCCAAACGGCATTATATGACCCCGAGATGTATCCCTTAAAATCTCAAAAAATTTCGACACCGGGCCTCGAAACAACCCAAATTTCTCAAAAAGCGTGGATATTAGCATTCAATTTTGGAATTTTTTTACCTTTTTCCGCCAATAAATGAAAATTGCCGAAATGTTTACTTTCTTCCCTAATACCCTCCGAGAGTCCAATTGGATGAATGGAACTATTCTATTTTTCCTTTAAACGGCCCCACCGGTTTACAATTTGCACTGATTAAATTATCTCAAGCCTACTACGAACATTTATGACAACATATAATGATCATATATGGCTCCACACTTTTTGAGAAATTTTGGAGGTTTTGGGCCCGGTATCGAAAAGGCTTGAGATTTTAGGGGATAGCCTTCAATTTTGGATTTTTTTGACTTTTTTCGTCCGGCAATAAAAATTGCCGAAATTTTTACCATGGTCCCTAATGCCCACCGGGAGTCCAACTGGGTAGGTGGAACCATCTAATTTGCCTTTAAACGACCAATTTACCGATTTATAACTTGAACCGATTTCATTAACTCAAGTCTACCACGAACATGTATGAAAACATATAATGATCATTTATGGTTCCAAACAGCATTATATGACCCTGAGATGTATCTCCTAAAATCTCATTTCCTTTCGACACCGAACCCTGAAACCTTCGAAATTTCTAAAAAAGCGTGGGTATTAGACTTCAATTTTTGAATTTTTTGACTTTTTTCGCTCGAAAAAAAAATTGCCGAAATGTTTACATGGTGCCTAATAGTCTAATACCCATCGGGAGTGAAATTGGGTGGGTGAAACCAACCAATTTACCTTCTAACGACCAATTTACCAGTTTACAACTTGCACCGATTTCATTAACTCAAGCCTACCACGAACATTTATGATAATAAATAATGATCATATATGGTTCTAAACTACATTATATGACCCCGAGACGTATTTCCTAGAATTTCAAGAACTTAAGACACCGGGCCTAAAGACTCCAAATTTCTTAAAAAGCGTGGATATTCGCCTTCATTTTAGGAATTTTTTGACTTTTTATCGCCCGAAATAAAAATTGCCGAAATGATTACCATGCTCCATAATACTCTCCCGGAGTCCAATTGGGTAGGTGAAACCATCCAAATTGCCTTAAAACGACCAATTTATCGATTTACAACTTTCACCGATTTCATTAATTCAAACCTACCACGAACATTTATGACAACATATAATGATAATATATGGTTTCAAACGGCATTGTATGACCCCGAGATATATACCCTAAAATCTTAAGGCTTTTCGATAACGGGCACCCGAAACCTCCAAAATTTCTAAAAAAAAAAAAGCGTGGATATTAGCCTTTGATTTTGGATTTTTTTTTTACTTTTTTTCGCCTGAAAATGAAAATTGATTAAATATTTACCATGGTCCCTAATACCCTTCGGGAGTCCAATTGGTTGGGTGGAACCATTCAATTTGCCTTTAAACGGCCAATTTACGAGTTTACAACTTGCACCGATTTCATTAACTCAAGCCTACCGCGAATGTTTATGATAACATATAATGATCATATATGGTTCCAAACATCATTATATGACCCTAATTTATCCCCTAAAATCTAAAGGATTTTCGATACTAGGCCTCGAAACCTCCAAAATTTCTCAAAAAGCATGTACATTACCTTAAATTTTAGAATTTTTTGACCTTTTTTTGCCTGTAAATAAAAATTTCCGAAATATTTACCATGGTCCCTAATACCCTTCAGGAGTCCTATTGGGTGGGTGGAACCATCCAATTTGTCTTTAAACGACTAATTTACCGGTTTACAACTTGCAGCGATTTCATTAATTCAAGCCTACCACGAACATTTATGACAACAAATAATAATTATATTGGTTCCAAACGGCATTATATGACCTAGAGATATATTCCCTAAAATCTCAAAGACTCTCGACACTAGGCCCCAAAACCTCAAAAAATTCTCAATAAGCGTGAATCTGAGAATGACCCAAAGTTAAAAATGACCCAACCTGATTATAACCCGCATATTGTTGACTTGAACTGAACCCGACTTGAACCCGAGAATGACCTGACTTGAAAATGACTCGACCTGATTATAATCTGCAAATTATTGACTAGAACCGAACCTGACTTAAACCCAAGAATGATCCGACCTGATTCTAACCTGCAAATTATTGACTTGAACCGAACCCGACTCGAACCTGAGAATTACCCTAACCCGTTTTAACCCGACCTATTGTTCACCCGACCCGGATGTAACCTGACCTAAACCCGACCCAAACCCGATAAGAAGTATGGCCCGACTTAAGCATGACCCAACCCAAACCCGACCCGTATCGGTTATGGAATTAATCTGAATTGATCCAACCCGACCATGTACTGTAATTTTTACCTTGGATCACCCTCCCCTCGTAATTATGGCTTAAAATGCATAGGCCTTGCCTTGCTTGGCCCTAAGGCCATGACGTACCTTGGTAGGGCAGCAGCAAATCAGTCATATTAGAGTTTCTGTTCGGTTGCTACCATGTACGTATAGGGGTGTACAAAAACTGGACCGGACCTGAAACCGGACCTGAACCGACCTGATCCGGACCGGACCTGACCCGGACCTGTTGATTCAGGTCCGGTCCCGGTCCTTGAAAATCAAGGTTCCCGGTTCCGGTCCGGACCCGGTCTAAAACCGGGGGTTTCAGGTCCGGACCTGAAACCCGGTTTTTTTTTTTTAAAAAAAAAAAACAAACACAAAAACTCAAAAAATCAGAAACGCTGCTCAGTGCTCTACTTCAATTTTTATTTTATTTTCTAACCCTAACTCGCTGCTCACCCTGCTCTGCCTCTACGTTGCGCCTCCTCCCTCATTCTCACTCTCTCCTCGCCTCTGCCTCTGCACTGCGACATCTCCCTTGCTTCCTCACTCTCAGGCGACGCCCACCCAAGGCTTGCTACATCAGCCACCGCAAATCTCCGGTAAGTTTTTTTTGCATATTTAATTATTCTTTATTCTTTTGTTCTTGTTTGAAATTCCGAATTATGGTGTATTGGTGTTCATGTTCAGTGTTTTTGTTTAATTTATATACATAATTCGAATTTATATATGTTTAATTTTATTTATATACATAATTCGAATTTATATATGTTTAATTCGTATAAGATATACATAATTCGAATTTATATATGTTTAATTCGAATAAGATATACATAATTCGAATTTATATATGTTTAATTTTTGGAAGTATGCTTAAATTTATATATGTTTAATTTAATTTATGTGGGTCAAATTTTTGTTCATTTTGGCCGAATTTTATTTATGTTCAGAATATATATTCGAATTTATATACGTATTCGAATTTATATATGTTTAATTTTATTTATGTGGGTAAGCTCTTATGTTTAATTTTATTTATATATGTTTAATTTTGGCTGTTAAGCAGGTTTGATGATTAGGGTTTATTGTTTTTGAATTTATGAACTTGAATTTGTGTTGGGGGTAATTGTGGAAGTTTGATTTTGTGAATTGGGTTTTAATTTGCAGGTTTCGATTGCTTCTGGTGGTGCTTCTAGAGAGAAAACTCAGGTTTGGGAATCAATTCAGGGTTTTGTGATGAATTTGAAATTAGGGATTGGTTTGTCTTGATCTATTAATTTTAGTTGAATTTGAAATGGAATTATTCAATTGAGACTTGTTTGAGCATGCAATTCACAATTTTTCCTGTCTTGGATGGTTAATTGTGTGAATTTGCCGTGTTTTTGGATCATTAATTTTGATTTATTAGTTTGATTCTTATTGTTACCTGCTTTAAAGATACAAGATTATCTACATTCTGCTCCTATAAGTTGATTGTTTGATTTATTTTTGTTTCGAAATGAGAGTAGGCTCACATAAGGGAGCTGGAAGAGGAAGTGAAGCTGCTTAGGAATCTATCACACACAAATATAGTTGCAAGTATTTTATCTTTTCATGTACCAAAATACGATCCGATATTGCTGGATTCTGAGCTTAATTTCCATGCTAGAGATATTTGGGGACTGCAAGAGAGGAGGAGGCTTTAAATATCTTATTGGAATTGGTTCCGGGTGGATCCATTTCCTCACTTCTTGGCAAGTTTGGATCATTTCCGGGTGAATCTTAAGAGACTTTATGTAATGTTATGAGTTTTCGTGGACTCATTTGTATTTTCGGTGGACTCATTTGTATTTTTGGTGTTTGGAAATTGGAACTTTAGAGACGTTATGTAGTTTTGTGATTGATAATTTTGGTTTGTATGTAATTATTAAATTATGCAACAGGTCTAAAAATCACAAAACAAGTCCATATGCAGGTCCAACATGTTATTTATAAAAAAAAAACGAAAAAACCACAAAACAGGTCCATTCAGGTCCAAACCCGGACCGGACCTGATGTTTCAGGTCTGACCCGGAACCGGACCTGTTAAATCAGGTCCGGTCCCCGGTCCTCAAATTTACCCAATTCAGGTCCCCGGTCCAAACAGGTCCGGTCCAGGTCCGGTCCGGTTTTGGACCGGTGTACACCCCTCAGTACGTAGCAGCTATGTCAGTGGAGCTCGAGATTACTCAAATAACAGTGAATCTTAGTCTCATTTGTCATTTACATCTCCCGTCCTTGAATAGTTTTCTTTGTTAGTATCCTCTTTTTGAGCAAACTCTTTACCTTGGACTAGCAACAATTTCTCTTTCCTATTTTATAGGTCACGAGTTCTCAGACATAACTTGAGAGTTGGCCGAATTGTTTTGGCGGTATTACACCAATCACCAAAAGATAGACCTGACCTGTTTTCTAATATACTCCTCTTAATTTGAAGGCTTATAAAAAAGAACATATACCATAGCCAAGCCTTCATTCGTAAACATGATTATTAAGGTTATTTCTTCCTAGTACATATGCAAATTTGAGTTGTTGCTCTAATACTGGACATATGAGCTGAAAATGGTACTAAAATAAATCAAGTGCATAGTTTTCCGGCTAACTACTTCAAAATGCAATAAGACTTCTCAAATAGTTTTTGATTCTCTAATTACATACTACCAAGTACCAACAAGATCTACATAATTATTAAAATGTTGAAGATTTGAAAACAACCTTGCTCATGAGCAGCTCTTCATGTTTGAACTTGCAAGCCCCTTGCTCTCTCATATCCCTTATAGTGGTAGTCCCTTTGGAACAATTTTGTCTTTGATCCACATGTAAATAGGAACCAGTAAATAGTATGTCGATGCCAAAACTCCAAGGATGAATCGGTAGAGAAATATATGCAGGGGCACTGGTTTTTGGACATCCTCAGCTTTCGGACCAAGCTGCATCACATACATATTTTTAAATGAGAATCAAGATTAAGAGAATGAAACTCTAAACTGTACCAGTACCAAAGTATTGCATAATACAGTACACAATAATAGATCTTGTTTCAAATCTTCGATCTGGTGGCAAAAAGAAGGTGGTGGAGGTGTAAAGAGGGGGTGTGCTATTGTGTAAGATCACCTCTTATGGTGCATACGATCATATTTCCTCAATCAGGGAGCAAAATAGATCATACATTCATACACGAAATCTCTGGTCTACAAGTGAAGCACCCTCAAACATATTTCCTCAAAAATTGAAATGCAAATTTCCCCCAAAATGATTTGGGATCAGCAAGCATGAATCGTGGATTGCAACCAACAAAAGTAAAAATCAAAATAGAACAAGAGATTCATCGGTTCTCCAAATCAAATGATCAAATCAGAACAAGTACTGAGATGAACACACATCAGTTTTCCAGTGACTGTACTCTTGTTTATACTTTATACTCATAAGTGTAACAGAGAAAGAATAGGCAACAATTAATTGCATCCAAAGTAACAATCAAAGTTAATATAAAAACAAAAAAATCTTTAAGAGACAAGCATCCTTCTACCCTAGCTCAATCAACATAGATATCATATGCAAGTATAGAAAGACTAAATACCTGCAAGGGAGAATCTCCAGAGGCAGGTTTTACACCTGTTACAGAGCACCCCATGATGAGGCCATGGCGCCGAACCCCACGGTACCACTTAGGGCCAATCCTTTTCAGTTGAACATCCTTGAAACCTGCTTTCTCAAACCATTCAATATACTCTGCCTCCTTTGGGAAGAGCATCCAGACATCTGCAAAGAAGCGAGATAGCCAAAATGTTGGATAAACAGGACCGATCAAACAAGCTTTCCCTCCCAATTTCAGCACCCTGTATGCTTCCCTTATGCCCCGTTGTGGATCAGGCCAGTACTCAATGCTGTGATCATTTATCAAAACAAAGCACAAAAATTAACTCATGCTATACGCCTATACGGTACCCACCACATACATATGTATATTCTTTAACAATACAAGCAAATTACTAAACAAACAATACCGGCATACAAGATGAAACTTCTTATGCACTTTCAAAATTCAATGATTTCAGTATGTCACACCAATGTATGTCCAAAACCTTTTCACCCCTTTTATGAACACATAATTCAAATCCACATCATACATCAATTCAGTAGAAATTAACAGTTGAGACAAACGAAAAATAATACCCAAAAGACACAAACAGGCACACAACCTCTTAAGGCTTTAGCACCTCCAACTCTCCAAGTCTTGTTCATGTCTTGCCAATGCATATTTCTTATACTAGAAATAATTATGTAATGATCCCGCATTATATACAAATACATGACAGAGTACTGGCATAACACCCTATAAAAGCATTGTCCACAGAATCGGTATAGAACTTTCCAAATTTTCTCAATTCACATAACGAGAAAATACCAGTTCATCACCTTGATAAACAAACCTCACATAACATTATCACTTTATATAAAACTTTTTCATGATCCAAAAGTTATATGCTACGTAGCATCTTAAGTGATAGTAAGACCTCAACTAGCAAGCTTTCTAGGTCACATGCACATTTATTTTGCGGAAATCATACCACACATTATTAAATCACACTATAATCAACAATTACATAACTCAAGAAAAATGCACATCAATTCCTACCAAAGCATTCATATATTACAAGAAACTGAAAAAATTGAACCAACATATATATAACTAAATGTAAAGTTATATACCTTCCAGCAGAAACATATCTATCAGCATAATCAGTAGGAAAAGGGAGATCCTCAGCATCACCCTCAATGATCTTACACTCCTTCAAAGGCTCTTTCTCTTTGGCTTTCGCCAATTGATGGGGTGATTGATCCAAAATGGTGACATTCTTAGCATCAACATGCTTAACAATACCTAAAGTAGTGAACCCAGTTCCTCCCCCAACATCAACAACCAACATATTCCTGTTATTCAAATCTGCTGGTTCTAAAGCTTCATACCTCATATCCTCTGTCCAATGCGGAGGATTCACAATGTTATCATACACAATTGACAGGAATCTGTAAAACCAAAATGCCTCTTTTTTGTTCTGTATAAATCTGGGTTGTGAAGCAGGCCTTGAAGAGGCTGAAAGACTGCATTTTGGGGTTAAAGTTAGGGTTTTGGACCTTAAATTCCTGGAATTTGGGGGTAAACTCAATCTGGGTAATTGGTATTTTCCATTAAAATCAGACCCAGAAAATCCCAATCTATTTGGGGTTGTTCCACTGATTAGGGCAAGTTTATCAACCCCATTTAACATTGAACAAGCCATGATTGAAATGAAACAAAAATCACTACAAAAACAAAAAAAAAAAAAACCCAGAAACAAAATTCAGATTAAATCATCAAAGAATGACATAAATGAATGCATGAGCAAATTAGAGAGAGAAAAGAGTGAACTTACAAACAAAATAAGAAGACAAGGAGGAGAGAGAAAGAGGGAGAGCACTAAATTAGCACCATAGATACTGTTTTATGGACTGAAATGATGCAGAGTGGCCCTCTCGTTCTATCACTATGTGGGTGTACTTGTGATAGCCAGTATTTTGCTCGAGTAATCCGCCAACTATATTAATCCACTAATCAACCGACTTACTGTATTATGTGATAAATGTCAAATTAGTGATTCATTTTAATTAATGTGATTGACATTGTCATGTTCTAAAAAAAAAACAGTCTTTTAGAGTCTAGAGACTCTACACTACTGGTTGATCGTTGATAACTTGATACACCCTTTGTCTCTTTGTTAGGACACCCTCGTCTGTGGTAGGTGGGAACGTTTTCGGACTTTAATACTCTCTCTATTTTTATTTAAGTGTTACATCTTGATTTATCATGTATGCTAATTTAGAATTTTAAATAATACGGAGTAATTTTTTTAATTATCAATAAATATGGAGTGTAAATTATAACAATTGAATGTTTATAAATTGTTAATTGAACCGATAATAAAATTATTTATTCATTAAGTATAAATTAGGAGTATAAAATAAAAGTGATATTTGGATAGAATATTAAAACAATTCTAACAAGTCCGACCAAGTTTAATCTTATGTATAAAACTCCGATTGAGGTCAAAGTAGTACATGTGAATAGTATAAAATTTATCAATTTCAGGACCCGACCCAAACACAAATCCGAGTTAATGACATAGCATGACCCGACTCAAACGACCCGAAATCAACCCAATTCGACTTATTTATCATATTTTGTAATAATTCAGAAATTTCAATCAACCCAAAATGGTGAAATATAACCCGACCCGTTGACCAAAAATGAAAGGTCTAGATTACTAACTAATTTTACGCTCAAATACAAACCCGTTGTGGGCTAAATCGATAATGTGGTCGATAGATAGATCATAGATGTCATTACGTGGCCTGATAATTTATTGGGCCTACATTGATAGGCCAACTCTTCCTATGAAGCCAATTGGGCCATTATTTTCAGGTTGGACAATGAGACCTTTGACTCCATTTCATTTCATCTACTGGGCCATCCGTATTTAGCCTATATTGGTGAAGATGAACATTATGTCTTATGATTTCTCTTGCTAAATCCAACATTTGATAGCTCAAGGGGTTAGAATTTCCCTCCCGATTCCAAGAAAAACCTGGTATTGATTCTCACCCCCGCTCTTGTGGCTCTCTAAACAGAAAAGGTCATTTGGTGATCATGTAAATAAAGATCTTCCATCTTAGATTAATGAAGGCTTTTTAAAAACAAATAACAATAAAAATACCAGACATTATTAATGTTGCTCATTTTCTTTTATGAATGAAACATTACCATATACAAAAATCATTATCGACCAGTGGCGATTCCAGGAATTGCTCGTTATGGGTTCGGACACTC